AGGCAGGGGAGGCTGAGAGAGGAAGGGGGGGCTGACAGAGGCAGGGCAGGCTGACAGAGGCAGGGGGAAAGTGCGGTGCGGCTGCTTCCTGGAGAGACGTGTCGTGGGCCATCTTGGCCAGCATTGTTACCAGGTAAGGCGTGGGTTACACTGGAAATAGTGCTTTAAAAAAACAGACAAATACAAAACAAAACAAAGTGGGGACCAGAGAGAGAGAGTGAGTAAGACAGAGAGAGAAAATATCTCGAATCCCCCCTTTCAGGCATTAAAAAACGATTTATTTCATTGGCTGAAAAGCCCTATTAAAGAAACGCTTGTACATGCCATAATGAAGATTATAACCCTTGTCTCGCAGTACTAAAAACTCAAAAAGAAAAAACACACAGCTGGTGTATAAATAAGAGGGTAAATTTGTAGAAATTCATACAAGAAAAAAACAGTAGTACATTTATGTGAGATTCAATGCCTTATTATTTAGTGATCCTAGTATCTAGCTCAGCAGAATTACCATCTAGGAGCACGCTGACAATGTGCCGGATAGCAATCCCTGCAGACCTGTACATCTGCTTGTACAACGGAGACTAAAGTAGAAATATTATTATTACTGTCAAACTTTTGATGTACCAGTAGGACGGGAGCCATGATGATTGCAGCAGCATCACAATAACAAATCTTTCTTGTGTTTGGAGCCTTTCCCAATCGATTTTCAATTCAGTTTTGAGGAACACGAACCAGTAGGGAAATTTCCAGTTGTTTACCCAGGGATAGAGTGAAGACCCACAACATCAGCGGAGTGGCGGCTGAGCCTGAGCTCTGTGAGTCAGAGCGACGGGCCGAGGTAAGAAGGATCCATCCACCGCGGGATCCACTCGAGCTCCGCCGAAATGAGCACGATGAGAACATGACCAGCCAATAAAGAGCCATGGAAGCAGTCATGTGACTGAGGAGGAAGCGCGTGGGGGTGAGGCAGTGAAGGAGAGTTCAGGGCAGGGGTGAGGGGGTATTTCAGCTAGAACGCCCTTTGGCACCCCGCTTTGGCTGGTAGGAAACCCCAGCCTCTCAGCATAATCCGTGCTCTGCAGTCCTGGCTCAGTGCAGGCAGCTCGAATCGGGGGTCAGGGCTAAAAATAATCTCCCGGCAAACCTCTGCTCCCATCTCAAGAATGCAGATGTAATCAGAACTGAATCTGTCTGCAATTTGCATACATTTGCCTAATCGGTGCCTACAGTAAAATAAAGATTAAAATCTACGGGCGAGTAGAAGGGCACGGTAACTTCCATCGCCATTATTTTCTCTTCTCCATCATAAAATACATTTATACTGCTTGCATTGTCATTCTTCCATAAACCTTGACGTGTTTGTAGACCAGGGGTGGCCAATCTTATCCGCAAAGGCCCGGTGTGTATGCAGGTTTAAGGGGTAACCTTTTCAGCCAATCAGTTCTCTAATTAGTGACCTAATTAGGGAGTTGCAGTGAAAACCCGCATACACAGCGGCCCTTTGCGGATAAGATTGGCCACCCTTGTTCTAGACTCTAACTTGTGTTTTTTTTTTTGATATATCTTCCAGGACCTCCCAGGATCTTCCAGGACCTCCAGTTTCCATTACTGAGGTCCTGCTACATGGAAAGCACATTTGCTACACACCAAACACTTCTCTGCAATTTTTCATAAACGTGATAGATTCTTTTCTGCTTTTTGAAAGATCACCAGTTAGGATATAGGACACTATTATCACGGTTACAAACAATGCTCTTCTAAGGCCTCTAAGCGCACAGTGACGTTTAAGCTCCTCGGTGTCACTGGTACAGCTGCAGTATTCCCACTGCGAAGGCCTGCCGCCGAACTCCACAGTCGGACTGAATTAGCATCTCTGCGCTCCCCTCCCCCCAGCGCAGGCCTCCAAGGCCCCGGCCTGATGCGACACTCCCTGCAGCCGCTTCCCAGAATCACACGCACGCCTTATTTCCAGGCCTCCAGCGTCTCCTGTCACGAGGTTCCCAGCTCTCGTCATGCGGTGCGGCCTTCACAGGAAGCAGTCCGGTGGCGTGGGGGGGCGGCCGGAGTGGGTGAGCGGGGCCTCCTTGGTGTCGACCAGCTTCTCGTAGCGTGTCTTGTAGGCGTCCCGTTCTCGGAGCACCCGTGACAGTTCCAGCTGCAGCTGCTCCAGCTGAGAGGCACAGAAGCAGACAATTTTTTTTTTTCCTGTTTTTTTTGTCTCTCTCAAGAGGGGCCATAAGTCATACAGAGGGGCCAGAATCATTATCAGCCAATGACATGTCTCAAAGCGGTGAGTAACAGGGAGCGGGCACTCTGGGGACCAATCAGTTTTCAGCTGAGGAAGGTGCCCCAGTGGCCCCGCCCATATATACGACCGTTCAAATGTCCATGTGCCACCGTCTTTCAACTTATATCAACATGTAATTCCAGGTGGATCTAAATACAAATGCGACGTACAGATACAAATCCTTCATAGGAGCAAATAGACGTAATATCACGTTTGGCATGGAACAGAACATTAGCATCTGAATTAGTACTGGAAACATCGCACGGCACCACCTGGCACCCTGACCCGGCGTCACACCACTCAGGAGCCGTTCCACCGCGTTCACCAAGCTACAGGGGCTATGGGTGCTGTATAGGACAAGAGGAAGGGCCATGAACATCTGAGCACTGAGGTGGAGAATCTAAGATAGTGGCTCTCGACTGGTTTAGACAGTATTCCTTGGTCAGTTAAGCAGTGACAGTAACAGTAAAGGTAGTTCACTGGGGAGACCCACTTTTGGATTGCAACCCACCCAGTTGAGAAACAAAAGACCAGCGCCCCCTATGGGCAGGACGCGTCCATCCCAGCCACGGATGAGTCATGCGGCAGCATCTCTAGGGGTGCCAATAACGCACTGCATGGCTTCCCACCATCTGTCCCGCAGATGAGGACACGGTGACAGTCTGCTGTCACATGGAGGGAGACATCAGAGGGGGGCGGCTGTGTCAATGAACGTTACATTTATATAGCGCTTTTCAAGATACCCAAAGCGCTTCAAAGGAGGGGGAGCCACTTCAGCCACCCCCACGGTGTGGCCCCCGCCTGGGTGATGCGACGGCAGCCAATCTGCACCAGTCACTCACCACACAGTAGCTAAGGTGGTGAAGGGGCAGGAGGGAATTCACCAGTTAGACACAGGGGGCGATTAGGAGGCCCGATTTGATAGGGCCACGGCGGGCAGTTTAGCCAGGACATCAGGGTACCACCCCTGCTCTTTCGAAAGATGCCCAGAGCGTCAGGACCTCAGTTTTCTCATCTGAAGGGCAGCACCATTCTTACAGTACAGTGTCCCCCTCACTGCACTGGGATTCACACAGACCATAAGAGGGGCTTCCCCGTTTGTGACAGTGTCTCCATCACTGCACTGGGATTCACACAGACCATAAGAGGGGCTTCCCCGTTTGTGACAGTGTCTCCATCACTGCACTGGGATTCACACAGACCATATTAGCACGGCTCCAGTGCAAGGCTGACATGTAAATTCATGAAGTGTTCCATATTTTGGGGGCTGCTGTGCGGCTCAGTGGGTTAGGATTCTGCAATCAGAAGGTTGTTGGTTCAAATCCTGGGGTCGGCAGAGTGATGTCACCGTTGGGCTCCAGGGACTGTGAGCCTGCTTTCTGACTGTGACAATAAGGTGACTGTGAGTGTACCTGCTGCATGAGGTGGTGTTTCTCGGCCTCGAGCGCATGCCGATGCTGCAGCCGCTTGTGGCGGCAGGACTGCGCGTAGCCGCGGTTCTTCAGCGTGCGCCGCTTCTGCTTCAGCCGCGCCGCCTCGTCCTTGCTGACGCCACGCAGGTGCCGGTTCAGCTCGCGCACCGACAGGCTGACCAGCTGCTCGTCCGAGAAGCGCTCCTCCACGCCGCCCTGCCTCTGAGACACAGAACATCACAAAATATGCATACGCTTCACAAAGACGCCACATCCTGTACATGCAGACCCTGGCAAATTCAGGGGGCCCCACCTCATTATAGGGGCCCCAAAAGGCAAAAGGTACCATTTTCTCCCACCCCCCTCAGCCGGGGGTTGAGGTTAGGGCAAGATATCTAGCTAAGTATTATTTAGTATGATACATATGTAATCATGGTATAGGGATAGTAGGCTTGCTGTAGTATAGTGAGCTACAGTAACTATACTCTGTCACATAACAGTGCAGCATTACTGTACAGGTTCACTGAACAAAGTGTAAAACGACAGGCTAGCAGCAGAAAAACAATCTTATTAACATTAGGGGCTGTTAAGGAACCCGATTGGTCCCGTTAAATGACTCATTTAAGTTACTGAACTTCATCAAAGCAGCTTAGGACACTATGAGGAGGAAGAGTACAGCCCTGGTACAGTTTTATTCCCCAAGGTACAAACAACATTAATGTATCCCTAATGGTACAAAAAAGTCCGTTCTGTACCTTTAAAGGTACATCGACCTACAAGTAGGGTACAATTGACAGACCCTTGATGGTGCAGCCCTAATGATAAGTAATTGTACCATCAAAGCTACAAATTGATACTTTTTTTTACGGACAGTGCACCAACCAGCAGAATCAAACAAACCTTAACTCAAGTGAGACGATGGCGTTTGCTATAAATAACCCGACTGCGTTTGTGTCTGTGACAGCAAGCGAACGAAACGTCCCAAATGACAGATGAGCTCAGTGTCACGTGGCAGAGACACACAGAGCAGAGGTACGGCACTAAGTATCGGGAATCTGCATACTTCACCATACTCATGGTAGAGTCATTGGCTAACGTGTCTCTGCATTGGAGATATAGGAGAATGTGAGCATCTGCCACAGAAAGCAGGGGCATTTCGAGGATTTTTTTAAAGTGATGGGCATAAGAGGGGCCATAATTCATACAGAGGGGGCAACTTTATTATTAGCCAATGATGTGTTTTGAATTGGTGAGTGACAGGGAAGAAGGGCCAATCAGCTTTCGGTTGGGGTCTGTGTCACTGTGGCCCCGCCCCTTTATACACCCTTTTACATAAAGACCTTACGGTGGCAACTCCCCTCCCACATGACCTGTGAGGTCAGCAGCGGGGGATCAGCGGGTGGGGGAGGGGCTGATGGCGGCTGGACGCGTGAGCGGGGAGCACATTTGCTCCTCACATGTCCGTAATCTGTCATAATTTCTGAGTCTAATCCGACAGAGTGTCAGTGACAGTGAGCAGGATTATGAGTAGTAGTTATAGCTCCCATAATCCTCAGCTGCGTTCCCCTCATCACACTCTATGATTCCATACTACACAGTGCAAATTGTTGGTGTTAGTGAAACCAAGAGCACTTACAATGGAGTCCTGGCAAATTTCTCAACAAGTTCCACTGGGGATTTTGACAGCTGGTTCAGCACATATGCTTTATACCACCAGGTTTACTGTGTCCAAAGACTCCCACTTGACAGGGCCGACTGTTTTAACTTTAATTTCTACCAGGAGTTTATGGTAAATCATCTCAGAGGGTCCCACACATTAGTGCACAGCTGAAAACACTCTCACAAAAATTAAAATGAAGTTAGTCACACGCAATGCTCAAACAGCAGCCTTCCCTGTCAGGAAGTTTCCCTGAAACTGGAGTGCAGGGTCTGCATGGTGCACGGGTTCAGAACAATCGTCATGCAGGTCGCACGTGCAAAACGCAAACACAAACGCACACGTTCATGCACAACTGACCCCCTTGAAAATGCAGCGATGAGGAGCAGGCGAGATGACACTCGCCCATGTGTGTCGCTGAGTGTGTGGCTCCGTGCCGGTCGCACACGTAAATATAGAAACATATTTATTCATAATCTCAGGCCGCCACCGCCTGATTTCAGTCCCTCTGTCCACATGTCATCCATCATTATCCCTCCTTCGTGAAGTCGGCTCTGTCTTTACAGTTCATCAGGGTAATGTTCCCTTTCCTGACAGATACTAATAGGTTTGGTGGCATCACAGCGCTACAAGCTTTGTGGCTTTGGCCTCTGTCCCTGTGATTGCATGCTCTCCCCTTATCATTTTTTAGCATCCTCCAGCACACAAACACACAGATTGGTGAACTGTTTTTTCTAAATAACCCATAGCATGTGAGTGCGTGCCCTGTGTTGGACAGACATCCCATACGGGGGGGCCTGCCTCGTACCCCTGTGCTTCCTATAGAGCTCAGGGGCTAAATGACGAAATCACTTTGCCGGGATATGAACCAACAACCTTCTGATCGCAGGCACAGTGCCCTAACTCACTGATCCACACACTAGCCTCATTGATATGCTGAATGAGAGGAACAGGGGGCTTCTGTATACGGCACATGCGACGTGATAGGCTCAAGGCTCACTGCATTGATTGGTGGATGGATGGATGCATGGATGGATGGACAGTTTACTTTACCCAGATTAGGTACCTGTGGTTATATGTTCAAAAAGTGGACCTGCTCTGTGGACTCAAGCCCAAGGTCAGAGGTCCATCACCTCTACACTGCCAGAGCTACAAGGACATGAAGAAGATGGCAAAGACCCCCCCCCTCGCCAGTCTCTGTACCTGACCCAGCTGGTGGTGGAGATGGAGGTGATATGGGTGAGGATGAAGATGATGGTGAGGCTGACCGTCGGGGCTCAGCGTCTGGAGGTAGGGTACGGAGCTCAAGGGGGCACCGGCGAGGGAGGGGGGCAGCACGAGAAGCGGCCGGGCGCAGAGGTCGGCCGCCTGGGGGCAGAAGACCTCACCTCCACTGTCACTGCCGGAGTCCCGCTGGCTGCTGTCGGAGCTCTGGGCCAGAACCGTGAACTGCAGAGCGGGATGGAGCAGCAGGCGCGTCTGGCGTTTGTCATGCAAATAAACAGCTGATACTTTTATGGGCGACATGCCTTGATTTGGCTGTATAAACTCCGATAAGCTAAGCTCAGCACAGACAGACATATTTATATTTTATTAATTTAGCACATTGCAAATACATGTTTGAGAAAGCAGGAGCAACTGGGCCAGATGGCAGATGGCACTTTGCTGGGATTTGAACTAGTAACCTTCTGATCACATGCTTAGTATCCTTACAATGACCTCTGTATATGGTGCGTGTCACATGACACTTAGTACCTCACCTGAGAGTTAACGGCTGCAGAGCTCAGGAGGGCTTCCACGGCGTCCTCGCATCCCAGGAACCCCCCAGTGGGGCCCCCATCTCTCTCCCCCAGCTCAGGGCCCTCACCACCGAGGGGCCCTAGCACAGAGACGGGTGCAGTGGCTTCAAGCCCAAACTGCTGTAGGGCTGTCAGCCAGAGGAGGTCCTCCAGGGAGGTGGGGCTGGGGGAGGAGCCAGGGGAGGAGCCAGTTCCATAGGCCAGCCTGAAGGGGTAGATGACACCGGGTGGGACAGGAAGTGACATGGGAGGGGACGAGGAGGAGAGGGAAGAGAGGGAGGATGAAGACGAGTGAGGCGGGTGAGCATCGCTCAGCGTGGGGGAGTGGGGCAGGGAGTTATATGGGCTGGAGGTAAGGCAGGAGTCCGGGGGCATAAAGGCTGGGTGGGGGCTGGGGGGGTCTTGGGATGTGGCTTTGGGAGGACCTCCAGCAGGGGGCACAGGCGAGGAGTCCGACTTCACCCCGAACTTCAGCAGGTCAAAATCGTTGAGGTACTCCATGGTCAGAGGGCTGGGGGGAAGGGAGGAAAGGGGGAGGGGGGGAGAGGCCATGGGCCAATCAGGAGAGGAGCCACAGGATGGGCACTCGGGTCAGAATGTTCCAGACGTGTCTCGGGGACTCTGCGGGCCCTCCTCCGGTTTATGCTTCACTCCCCCCGAAAACGAGCATCTAACGCGTCATCGTCGCTTGTGGCTCCCAAAGGACTGGGGGGGGGGGAGTTGTCTGTCTCAACCCTAAAATAACACGGAAAAAGACAGAGAAGAGAAGTGAAAACGGTCTGCAAGGGAAAAGGAAAGGGAGGATGACAACAGGAAGAAAGTAGAATGTAACGGAACAGAATTCTGCTGGATTCCTCCGAGACGACGGGAAACACTGACCGCTATGGTTTAGTCACACGTGTGGCGCACTGTAGCAGGTGGGGGGGACAGTGTCACATCAGGAACAAGGGAGCCTGCTTCGCCAGCTTCAATTTAATTAAATCACATCATTAAGGTGCTAAGACGTAAGACGATAATGACGGAGAGGATTGATACAGCGCGGTAACCTCTCCTGACGGCCGTGATGGTTCGCGACGGACCTTAAGTGACAGAAAACCATCCAGGAATTCCCACGCACCGATCCGAGACGATAAAACGCCTCAACCGCCTACATCTGGTTTTTGTTTTACAGAGAAATTCTGAATCTGGAAAATCCACGCCATCTTGACAGAGTCCCGTGTCCCAAAAAGCAGGGAAACATTTAAAAGCAAATCAATTAAATTCAAAACAGACTATCGCACAGCTCAATGACTTTATATCAGAATTGTTTACAAACTGATATACTGTACAACTCCTATATATGTATTTATGTAAGTATGTCCGACAATATAGCTCAGGCAAAAAACATGCAGTAATATCAATAATAAAAATAATCCAAATCTGGCAGTATTTGTTAATAGCACTCATGCTCATTCTTATTCTAATGAGTGACACAGTTGGTATTTACAAGGCAATAAATAAAACCAAACAAGGCTGGCAGAACCGCGAAATTTTGTTTAGGAGCTGAACTGCAAAAACTTTGCAAGTATTTCAAGTAAGAGATGCAGTTTATGTAACTGACCCTCTGCACAGTACTGTATTCCATAGAGGCAGTCTAATGAAAAAATATTTCAGATAAAAAAAAAAAACTCGAAATGACCTTAATCTATTGACTAAACACATATTCTGTTGGCAGTCAGCTAGAATTAACTTTAATAACTTAGATACTTAAAATGAATACATGATGAAACTGTGTGTAATCCACAACTGCCAGACTTATGACAGTATAGTTCAGGTTCCACCTTGCACATGACTGGAAAAGCACTTTAAAAATGGACGGCACTGGGAGCAGAAGAGGCTGGCTTCGTTTTCCCCGCCCCCACGCGGGTCTTTGGACGTCCGGACCTGTCTGATCTGCAGCCGCTGGTGTTGTTATCCATCGCAGTATAAGCTTTGCTCTACCACGTCATCACATCCGTACACCAACCTGAGTCCAGTACTGTCCTGACGCTACTCAACATCCAACTGTCACCCTTTTCGGTTCCTACTAAGCCCACTAGGGTCCAGTAGGGACTTCATTGCTGAGACCTAGCCGCAGCACGACCTAAAGCAAACAGCGAATTTCACATTCCTAAAACTACCAACATAGTGCAGCCCACCAGCCGGGAGGTAGATCTACAAGTGTCTTAGTGCACGGACCTCCAATCCATCGCTCTCCAATCTTTCAAGTATTTCTAACAGCTGTGTCTACCCGAGAATGTAATCCTACGAGCTCCTGCACCTACTCCACTTCTGTCACATTATTCAAAATAAACTGCAGCCTCTTTTTCACAAAACAGCACAGACCCGACAGAATTAAATAACAATATGAGACATACCAGACCCCACCTCAATAAATGATAGGTAGATACCTAACCAGATAAAATGATAGGTAGATACCAGATTTTAGTCCTGAATCAGAAAAACGTTTTATCATATGGATCAGTCATTTTATGTTTTTTGTGAAACAATATTGGTCTTATTTCAAACGCTAAAATATAAAAATTATTTTAAAAATCTTTCTTATATCTTTTGCATGTGTGCCAATTGCGATGCCACGATATCCATCGCACCCCCTCCCGCTGGGGCTAATTCGCCCTCCCCCCAAAGGGCTGCGGAGGACTGGGATGTGTGTGACGGTATGTGGAGAGGACTCGTATTGTATATTAAGTGTGCAGCACTGCAGGCCATCGTGATTTGCTGACCGTTAAGATCTTACTAGTGACATCTGTGTCTGAACTACGCAGGACACAAAAGTAACCCAGAGCGACAGTAAATTAAAAGATATCAGGAGGGAAACAAACGCATTATATAATAATGACACCAACACTTCATTCCCAGCTTCACATCAAATCTTTCATTCAGTTTCAAAATATTTTCAGAAGATCTCTTATGAGTTATTTTGTAGTGCTAAAATAAAGTGCTTGTAAATCATGAACTACGTCATCAATAAATATGATTATAATAAAATGTAGAATCAGTGTGGAGCTCATTGACAGTCGTTTCCCTCGCCATTGTACCATCAAAGAAACAAAACAAACATGACTGGACTGAAACTACCACAGGCGCTGCTATAGGGACCCTGAAAGCTGGGGTACAGTCGCGACTGTGACCTTACCTGAGCGAGGACAGGGGGGCAGCCGCACGTGGAGCCGTGCTGGGAGGCAGCGCGAGGGAGAGCGGGGCAGCGCGCGTGTTTGGCCGAGTGACGGCCGCTGCTCGGGTCATCCCCCCCTCCCCTCTTTCTCTCTCTCACCCTCTTTATCTCTCTGCTCCCTCCTCTCACTGTCCCGCATATCCTGCTTATTCTTACACCGGTGTACCGTCTATGTTAGCGATCATTGTTAACGTCGGTGTTTTCCAGCACCTTCCTCCCGCCGCCATAAACAGACCCTTTCGGAACGTTGCTGAGATTTATCTCCGTGAATAATAATAATGCTTCCTCTTGCATGTCTGCGGTTATTTTCAAAAGAATGAATTATGGCTAATTATCCCCTTATATTAACTGACTATCTATAAAATATATCTGCGACAACATGATACCAGGTTTGATCTGTAACAAAAATAACTAGTAAGCTGAATTTGACAGATTAATATCCTAAATATAAGAAAATGAAAAAATATCTACCAATATCTGAAAAGAGGGAAATATATCAAAGCCACAATTTATCATAGTTAGTCATTTTCTGCATTATGATAAGTATTACTGCTTGGAGGACAACTTCAATTCAATTTTAGTTTGAAACTTTTGAGAAATAATCATGGGACATTCTATCATCTTTTAATGTTAAACCCCACTGAGAGTGTTTTCGTTACAAAAACATTTATCTCACTTCTTGTAAGTGAAATTTTGAGACTTTTTCCAATTATGCCTATATATATGTAGAGAGAGGGAGAGAGATAAAAACCTTCTTTTATCGTCGTGTGCAACTTTTTTTTTTTCTTTAGCAAAGAGGTGTGGTTTAGTATTGAGTGTCCATCGTAGTAAATGGCACAGGACGGACGCTTTCCCGGCGCTCTGCTCGCTCCCGTCTGCTGACCGCCGCGTCCCCGTACCCATGGCGCGCGGAGTCGCGCTGGTGCGAGCGCGTGCACGGAAGCCCTGCCGATGGCGACTGCAGTTAGTATCCCGTATCACAACGGTGTTGCAGGCGGGTTTCCTGGCCTCCCGGCTCCCCATCACCCATCCCCTCCAGAGAACACACGATGCGTTTCCATACACGCTGCCTCAAGGGATCAAGGAACATTTAAAGCTTTAAATAGACCAAGTTATTAAAACTTTAGAATCTGATTGAGCCCAGATAAAAAAAATTAAAGCATTTACCATAAATGTCGCTGCGCTGCCCCCCTGTGGCCTCTTTGGGGACGTACAAAGTATGAAACATTTGTCCATCTACCACTGTCTAAAATTTACATGCATGAGATATTATTCAATGGAGTTCTGACTGCAATGACTGTTACATTTATCCACCTTCCATATTCTAAAATTTACATATGGATGTCTTATTAAGTGGAGATCTGATTTACTTTACCATCTCTTCAAAGTCAAGCGCAGTTGCGGGGGTTATTTCTAAAATAAATAAAAAGTGCATTCTGCTCTTTAATGATGCATTGATTAAATGTACAGTTGCTGCAGCATAAAGCAGCACATGCTGTGGCCCCCACGGTCCAGAATCTCAGGGCACCTGCTTTCCTAAAATGACATTTTGGGTTTTCAGAGCGCCAGTCACCCCCCCACCCCTGTCTCACACTTGCAGCCCCTGGGGGTCTGTCAGCACTGTTAGGGTTTTAATTGCATTTTAATTGCTTAAGCGAAGGAATATTTGATGAGCCCATGCATAGAACATCACTCAGTCTTGCTCTGGGAGTCCTCATCACTGCGATGCTTTAATATTGTTCTACATGTGTGATGGTGTCAAATTACATACATCGCTAACGGCCGTGTGACCGCACACACACATGGGCGGGGGGGGGGGAATACACACACACAGACAATCAAGTGCACTCTCATTCCGATACACACACACAAAGACACAAGAGCACGCATGCGCACACGCATCCAACATCGCCGCATTACACACCAGGAGCCTTGCATACTGTATAATTACCGCATGAAATACCCTTTGGAAACGTCTTGAAATAGATTCCACAAAATTAAGAACCGACTTGTCAGGTTTGTTCTGAGTGTTTCTAGTCGTACAGTGACACGGAGGGTTTGCGCCCAATCAGGCATATGCTGGAAATGCACCATCCCGCTGAGACCTAAAGAATTCATTTCTACACAGGGTAAATATCCAGGAAATAAACAAATGTTCCACGCAGGGCAGCGTTCCCGTTGGCACAGCCCGTCGAGGATAAATGCCCAAATGACCGAAGGAGAATTGCAAAACATACAAAATGAGAACCGAAATTTTGGCTGCACTGAACACTCACAAGTTTTGAGGCCTTCAGTTAAAAACCGCACAGCAACTGTGGCAGGCCTCCATTCTGAGTAAATACAGGCCTCTTGAGACACTTTAAAGGTCTTCCCGGGAAGATCTCTGCTGCCTCTCTTCCATAGATTATGGACCTCAAACTGTAATCACAATTATGTCTATGTTATGAGCAATTTCAGAATGGAAAATGACACATTATGAAGTTAAAAATGACACATGCAGACATATGCTCTGAGAAATATTCCTATGGGAAAGCTTTGCATTTTTTATTTAGAGCAGTGTTTCCCAGTCCGGTCTTTGGGGAACCACAGACAGTCCACATTTTTGCTCTCACCCAGCCCCCTGCCAGCAGTCCACATTTTTGCTCCCTCACAGAGAACCAAGAGCTGAGAGGGAGCAAAAACATAGACTACCTGTGGGTCTCCCCAAGGACCAGACTGGGAAACACTGACTTAAAGTAAAGCCAAAGAGCTTAGTCTAGAAATGAAAGTTCTGGAAAGCGAATCATTCGGAAAGGAGTTAGGGGAAGCGAGGGGTCGGATGGGAGCAGAAATCGTGATTCACAGCTCTATTATTCAGCCGCTCAGGCTCGCGAGGGGGGAATGGGCGAGCCGGCATCTTTCCTCACAAATAGCGGGCATCCTTAGGGTTGACGTGGGAGGCTCAGCCCTCAAGCCCTGCAGCTATCTGCCGACAATATGCATCTCCGGCTGCTATGAGGTGTTCGGGACTCTGGGAACAGTGCACCCAAATCCGGCCCCAAGTCTGATTTTATTTAAGATCCAATTCACTGATCCCAGGGGTAAATTCTGGTGCATGCAGCAACACGGACACACGTGTAGTGTGAAACAAAGTGCAAAGGCAGTACACGTAGTGTAAACTAGCAGACAACGTGCCAACAGATACACAGAACACAAATAAAATATCCAGTAAAAAAACATAATGTTGCGATGCAGGAGAATTAAATATTTAAAGATAAGAATAATAAATTAACGATGTTCAGTTATTGAACAGATACCACTGGACACTTTCTGTAACTTTAAATTTATTGGTGCCTTACTGGGCTGGACTTGCGGGTGGGGGGTGGGGGCTCAGTGAAATGCAAGCTTTGCTGTGTGATATCCCACCCCCCACCACCACCATCCTCTGTGGCCCCCAACATACCACTAGCTATTCAGCATTACCATTACCAGGGCCCAGTAAATGCCATTCCGACTGTTTGTCTTCCAAATGGGAAACGTCGTATTTCTAAATAATAAATGTTGTCCACCCTTGATGCTATTCGTAAAGGACCCTGAGCAGAACTCCAGTTGTAAAGCCTCGACTGATAAAAAAAAAAAAGTCCTTCTTTAAGGCCACTGCATAGCAGCGTGTGAAAAGCTCGGCCGGTTCCACACAACTCTTAACTCTTTTCTTGGGCAGTGCAACTTTAACTCCAGTTCACCTGTGGTTATATAATTTTTTACAGTTCTCCCTGAATAAAGCCCCAACACACCTTATGCATAAGAACATAAGAAATTTACAAACGAGAGGAGGCCATTCGGCCCATCAAGCTCGTTTGGGGAGAACTTAACTAATAGCTCAGAGCTGTTAAAATCTTATCTAGCTCTGATTTAAAGGAACCCAGGGTTTTAGCTTCCGCTACACGCTGTGTAAAGAAGTGCTTCCTCAAATTTGTTTTAAAATGTTCTCAATAAGAATATTGGCGTGAGCTAAATAAAGAAA